ACCTGAAATAACATTTAATTCCTCTAACATACTTGCTTGCCTTGATCTTTTGATAACATGGTGTGCATTCTGTAGAATGAGATGTCAGTACCGAACTCGAAGTGCCAGTACTGTTTTATGACACTGAATCAGCATCTCGTCCCGAAGGAACATTTGACTGCGTGCACCTGAAACATTGTTTAACCCTGACCAGCCAACAGAGCTGTTGGGGAACACAGTCAAATGGGGCTACTTGGATTTACATTTGACCCAGATTCTCTCCATCCCATCTGTCTCCATCTCACACACTCTAAAAAAACTAACGCTTTTTATTTCTGCTTCCTTCTCTCCCTCGACTAGCACGCCTTTCATATCATGATAGAGGTAAGAGAAGCCTAATTTACCCATCCTTTTGAAGAGAGTGGCTTGGTTCCTGCTTATTCTTATTCCTTTTTGTTCTGAACATCACCAGTTCGGTTCTGAATGAGTTTTGTTTTTTTGCTTCCTCCATCATGATCCACTGTAGAATACAAGGCAGCAACCTCTTTGATTTTGTTTTTGATTTGATCTCTGCACATTTAAAAGTGTATTATGCTCTATTGCTCTTCGGTGGTCTGATTTGGAGACTCTTATGGATTCATTTTGCTTTTATTTCTGTTTTATTTGTTTTCTCAGTGCACGGATGAGTACAAAATCCCTTTTATTTTGGGGGGGATTCGAGCACAAGATCCCTTAGTTAAGGTGCATGGTAAACCAGCGATGCTTTGCTTTCGGATGCACGTCTCCAAGCATGCAAATGTTATACTGCAAGGATGAATGTGGGAATGTGTGGGAACTTGAATTGCACTTAATACTGAGACCTGCAAGTTGCTAAAGCAATTTGGCAACTCCCATTGAAAGTGTCTTAGTCTCTTTCAGCATTTTTGCTGTTGCTTGGTGTAAATACTTTCTGATAACAAACTGCAACAGTTGCTCTCAGCCATCTGTGATACAAAAGACTGTAGCTTCTCTTGCAGAAACACTGAAAACTATTTAAAATGAGGGATTCGTATGCATTATATTATCTAATGTAATGTTTACCAGAAAATTGCACAGGAATCTTGATGCTTTTAAAGTGATTGCCAGAATATTTATAATATTTAAGTTTGGCTAAGCTAACAAAGTTAATACCTTTCTGTTGGATTCCTGAAGTTCTGCTAACTTGAGCATGATGATTATGCAGCCACTGGCACAGTGTTTTATAGTGATCTTGTCTTGTGGTCTCTAAAGCCAAACACGAATAAATGAAAAAATAAAATATTCAGACAATTTTTGGAGAATTTCAACATGTCGTTTATGCCACAGAACAAATAGGAGGGATGACTTCAAATGAAAGAAGATATCCTTTGTTCCTGACAAACTGGGCAAGCGGTGCCATTGCGTAGGCTACTTTTCATTATGGAAAAGTGAAGGGCGCTCTTATTCAGGAGCTGAACTTTTAAGCACTTTTGCACACAGCTCAGTTGTCCATAACTTAGTTTGAGCTGCTCTCGGTGCTCGCATGAGATGCAGAGGACAAACTAAGCAGAAACAACAGTGTTTGGTTGAATGAGTTGATGTCATATGTGAAATGTGAAAAAAAGGAAATAAATTAATTGTGAAAAACAAATTGTACAAAGATATCATGAGATATCATGATATTCACGTGTTTAAATTCATTTACTGACGTCAGAATAAATTGCACTCCGTATGTAAAGGCCTTAAGAGCAAAGTGGCATATGGTTTATATCATTTTCATGCTTAATAGATCATTCAGTGACCACTCATTCCTTGTTTCATGGAGGATATGATCATCCTGAAGGTGACCATTCCCATCAAGATAAAATTATAAGCACCTGCTTTTGTCACATTTGTACCCCTAATTTACTCAAGTGCTCCAATTATTTTTGGAAGTTACTTCTTCACCTATAAAATGCAAACATGGCTAACTTGAAGAATTAAAGCTAGTCTGGACCAGCCACATTTGCGTAAGGCTAACTTGTTCCAACTGGTTTTGATCATTCTTGGCATTTTATGGGTGACGCATTCCCTTAAATAATTTGAATAACTTTTCTGGGTTTGGGCCCAGTAGGCGCATGTTAAGAGACACTTACAACACACGAAGAAACAGACAGGTCAGTTGCTCCTGGACATTTTCCACTGGTGTCTAGTTTGTTTGACTCTTTTACAACACAAACCTTTGTAACCCTTGCACTTTGACATTTGATATCCACCTTGGGTGTCCAGGGAAAAGACAGTCCTCTTAAATTACAGGTAAGCAGCCCTTATAATTTTTTTATCCTTGCTAAAAGAGGCACTTCATAACGCTGCCATAAAGAATCATTGTCATTTTCCCAACTCGTGCCTGCTTAGTGACTGACATTTGGTCAAATGGAAAAGTCAACATGACCCCGGCCATTGTGCGCGTTGTGACAGGGAGAATGAAGGGTAAGGGCGTGTGTTGTTTTTCTTTGATCCCTCACATCTACGTTCTTCCACTCTTTCTGTGTCAGCTCTTTCAGGGCTAGTTTTGGGCAACAGCGAAAGCAGCTCAATCTCAGATGTATTCCGTTTCTATCCTGTTTCTTTTTTTTTTTCTTTTGTTTTTCTCACCTCTCTTTCTTCTCTCCTTCGTATGATGGATGTTCTGCCCTTTCGCCCCGTCTCGTAGTCACTTCATCTGCCTTTTCTCCAGTGTAGAATTCCTTGTGGACCCACTAGAACACAGTACACAACCCAGATCCATATGCTTTGGAGTCTCAACTCAGAGGGCAGCGAACCTTCCCTACGCCCAATTTTTTGGTGTTTTTTTTTTCTTATTTTGAAGAAATGTAGGCCACGTATAAGAGCATAGCTGCTCTACATTTGCCCTACTTCTGTCCAGACTCTTAACCACAGGTGTTCTCGCTAAGGCAACAGCACCAGGTAGTGCAAAAAATGCCCCTTTTTATCTTGCTTTTGCATATTATGATCACAGATTTTAAGTACATACAGTCCATATGTAAAAACGTTGCTGCAAAAACAGCCCAGTTTTACTTATATTTAGTTCAGTGTATTTACATGTATCTACCTATTCAGACTTCAGAGGTTCAGCCCTACCCATTCACTTTGCAGTTTTAAAGTGTGTTTCAACCTGGACTGATTTTTGAATGAGGAACAATACATGGCAGCCGGTCAATACAGAGCTTATTTGCATATATCAGTCTTAAAGGCTCAGTAGCAAAAACAGCCTGTTTCATTTTAAGGTGTAAAAAGAGGTTGGAAAATGATCATGTAGAATTTAAAAATGAGTTATGAATGTTTTTCTTACATTAAACCACACAGCAGTCATAAGTGGACCTCAGGGGAAAAACATACAAAAAAAATGGGCTCTGTTAAAAAAAAAGGGGGGTGCAAGATGTGGTTGCTTTGTTTTCACCTACCCAGCCACTTAAGATTAATGACTTTATAAAAGGAGCTATGCTGTTTAATTTAGTGGTTTGTGCCTGGGAGTGCTATTCGAAAAGCCAGTACTTCAGCGAGGCGAGTTGGTGGGAAGCCAGCAAACACTGTGTCTCTCTCGCTGACTACAGTTGAATAGCAGGGATTAACTTATTTGATAAGCGCTCGCGGAGCAAAGAAACGGTTCATTGTGTTTCTGCTGACAGAGGTTAATTGGTCAGAAAATGTCATGTCGGGTGTGGACGGGGTATGCATGCATGCACATATCCTCACAGATATGCACTTCTCAACCATGCACGCATGCGGACTGCCAAAATGAGGCATGGGTTAATGGCACACAGTGGGTTTATTTGTATGTTTGTTTGTTTGTTTTCTCTTTTTTTTCTGCTCGGTAAACGCTCGTTAAGGGCACCATTCTCGTCGTTTGAACCAAAAACAACACGGGCGCTCATCTATCGTGGTTTATGTCATTGTCAGTTTCATCTGCCTGTTGTGGCTCCCTGATTCCACTGCAGTCAAGGGCTCCCCCACCCTCCCCCACCAGCCAGTGCATTCCACAGCTTTTCAAACTGGGTCAGCTCCTCATCAGCCCAGTAGTCCACTTACAGCAGCTATGGATTATATTTAACAAGCTCAGAACTCCAACTCCCATAAGCCCCTTCTGTCAAAGCTTTGTGGAGCTCAGCAGTGTAGTGTTCGCCAGCGTTATTGACTGTACAGTATAGCAGTACTGCGGCTTGATTTTAGTCTCCTATTTTAAAGCATTAGAAAAGACATGCTCAAGTTTGTGTTATGAAAGTGTAGTTTAATTTATGAAAATATAATAAAAGTAGAAGTGAATATCAACTACCAGTGATGTTATTTGATTATAGTTCTAGAAACAATGTTATAGAACTATATAATGATTATAGAAACAATTCAATGCATCATGACATCCCAAAAAATGTACCACTGTACTTAATTAAAATCATAATAGATAGATAGATAGATAGATAGATAGATAGATAGATAGCAAGCAAGCAAGCAAGCATTTGGAATCCAGAATTCTGTGAATATAAATAAATAGATCACCGTGTTACTTTGGCACACTTTATTAAATGTTATTATAATCTGTTTAAACTTTCCAAAATTAATACAGCTGAATCACCACCTTCAGACTGATGCATCACAGTTGCATTTTCATATCTTGTGTTGTTTTATTCTGTACAGTAAGCAATGACTTTACAGTATCATAGTTATAATTCTATCATGTAAACTGGTATATCAGCATGGCTATTACAGCATATGAACTGTTTGCACTGGTTTGCACTGTTTGCTTCAAAATCCTGGTGGAAAGCGCAGATGTTATGCCACTGGGTGATTGCTCTCCAAGGGAACCACACCATGTTATAGCTCAGTTGCTTCCCATGACACATAACAACATATAACAGACTATTGCTACGGAAAAAGCTATGATCACAGTAATGTCCATAACAGATGTGTTTCTCACACAGATAGCCAGTCCCACTGTATCTATAACTCCTCCCTGACCTCACACCTTCTGCTTTGCCCATGTTTTTCAGGACCCTGGCCCCATGCCCCCGTCGCCCATCCTCGGCCAGAAACCTCTGCAGTTGCTGGAGATCAAAGCCAGGGGTCGGTTTGGCTGCGTGTGGAAGGCTCAGCTGCTCAATGACTATGTGGCAGTAAAGATCTTTCCCATTCAGGTGCGTGAAGGAGCTCTAGCCAAGGCCGGGGAATCAGCTTGCAAAGCTGCTGAGTTAATCTGCCGAGCTTATGCTCTCCGCGAGAGGCAGTTACCTGGCCAAGAGAGTAGCAGAGCTTCGGTGTCCGCAAGTGAACTCACGTGACAGCATGGCATCCTGTTCTATTGCACTTGCATTGCACCAGTTTCAGAAAAGCTCTACATTGCCATGTCCTTAAGCAGACATCGGCGTGTAGTTAACCCTTAGAAGTCGAGTTATTACTTTTGTTTTGCTATACTATTCAAATATATTTTCATAATTCCTTGTTCCACATTAAATTACTTTTACATTCCTTTTACATTCTATATCAACAGGTTTATAGAGAGTCTTTAGGCTTGACTTATTTCTGTTTCTTTCAATGTCAAGACTGTATAAGACTGTGTGCACAACAATGTTTAATCTCATTCCAGTTATTTTAAAATACATTTCCTTCTGCTTACAAACACAAACGTGGCATCGTTTAAAAGTTTAGAATAAAGTATTCTTAACATTAGCAGAATTTAACAGGATTTCTCTACTTGTTTCACTGAATTACAGGTGGGAAGCAGCCAGAATAAAACTAGGGAAGTACCAATATGGGAATTATGGGTTGATGACAACATTTAATAATTTGCATGTACAGATCTGCCAATACCAATGCTGATACATAAACATTTATGAATTATAGAAAGCCCAGAAAAATATAGTAGCCCGGTTGTCACCTTAACATTCTGTTCCTCTGGAGTATAATAAGTATATCATCAAATATCAGTCAAATCTAAACATCTGTCCAATTTAAATAATATTTTTTAAGGCGGATATCTACAAATTCCGATATGATTATGATATCATCTTGCATCTGTAAATAAAATCACCCCATGCTTTTGTTATTGCCATTAATAAATGTGATTTCTAAGGTTAAATCTCTAAATCCTTAATGTCATTGCTATATTCATCAAGGCCAGACATGCAGTTGGTCTTTTTTGAGGTTTAGACTCTAGACTGTCTTCATATACATTGTCTACTATACACTATTTAAAAAAGGAAATTCTAAATTTCAGTGTGCTAATGTAATAATTTCCCCCTTTGCTTTGATTTAATTAAGCTTAATTTAAGCTTAACCTTAAGCTTCAGCCCCTGTAAGATCCCATTCGATGCTTGATTGACCACAAATCTTTTGGCTTAGTTTCACATTTAATGTTTTGGTTCAACACAGTGCTGTTCTTCTTCCCAGGACAAGCAATCTTGGCAGAATGAATATGAGATCTACAATCTGCCTGGTATGAGACACGAGAATATCCTCCACTTCATCGGTGCAGAGAAAAGAGGAGCCAACCTGGACATCGAGTTGTGGCTCATTACAGCTTACCATGAAAAGGTAATAGCCCCGGGCTGCTTCAGTTTCTTAAAATTGTTGCTTTGCATCACTGTGTGCTGTTTGGCATCCAAGAATTTGGAAAGTAGAGGGAGTTACAGAGGTTAGACGCCGTAGTCTAAAACTGAAATGCTTCCAATGTTTAAAATGATGGTTTGGCCCCTTACTACAAATATAGTCCCAAATTTGCTTCTTTAGCTTTGGATTGCAGCTACGAGGCTGATGTAGCTGATAAGAAGTTTATACCCTGCCTGGCTAATATTGTGCAGATTGAATGCCTGATTGTCTTACACTTGCCTCAAAAGACATCATTTCACTACATAATACCATTTATGCATAAACAGTTTCATAAAATAGCAAAATAAGTCTAAAAAATAGTAATAAATGAAGGTAGAATGTAGTGTGCACATTGCTGATTATAAATCTCCAGCACTTGTTGCATTAGCCTTCATAGCTCCAGTGCAGAACTAAAGAATCTAAATTCACACAGCAAAACACTTGTGAGTTATATCATTTTCTACACTTTATGGTTTGATATAATTTAACATAAGCTGCTCTCTATATTGTAGCAATAATGTTCGTTCACTGTTAAGCATAGGAGCATTGTTTTGTTAAACTACTGGTTGAATCATTGCTTTATAATAAGGACCTTTATAATGATTTTTATAATAGAACAGCAGCTCTGAAATAAGTCAAAAAGAGCAACTTTCATGAGCAACCTTAGTGTCAATCAGTAGTCCTTTACTTAGAAACTTGGCAAGTCAGTACAGCTGTTTGGTGCAAATGGTGCATTGTAGAGAAATTTACTGAGTCAGTTTTTTATACAGTGGTGATGATAGGAACTAGGATGTAATGTTTACAGTGCAAATATAGACACTTTATTTGCTTTTTCAAAATGACCAGTGAACCTACATGGATGATAATATGTAAGGGAACAAAAAGGGTTTTGTTTGGGGACTGTTTTTTCTTACAATGCCCTGCATGTGCCTCTCTGCCATGAATGAGAAAAAACAACATTTTAGGCCTAAAGCTTATCTCAGAACTGTTGTAAAACAGTGTCTCAGGCATCAGGCAGCGTATTCAAAACCATTTCATATAATAGCTTTCTGTGAGGGAGCTTTTAGAAGCGTTAAACTCTTCACGCGTCTGGTTGCTATCACCACCAGTATGAACAGAACAAAAGTTTCTCTAGAACTGAGCAGTTCACAAACCTCTCTTAATGACTGTGAATGCAAACATTTTGAAAAATTGGTGGAATTCCCCTTTAACACATTTGATCCAGCTCATTTCTCTAATCCAAAATTTGGTAGTGACATAGCTCAAATGTGATTTTGTCAGAGGTTGGTAGCCAAAACTATACTGATATGAAAGTATTATTACTTTGAAACCATGTAGGAGTAAAAGTAGTTATTTGAGTAAGAAGAAAACATACACACATATACATACTATATAAACAACACCCAACGTGAGGATAATGTTATAGAACATGTTTGTAAAATCAGTGGAATTTCCCTTTACTGTAGTGTACACTGTCCATATCATCATATCATGGACTGACACATTAAAAAATGAAACGAATACAAAATTTTTAAACTGATAACTTGTGACATCACATTATCATGAATAAGATACACAGAAATAGTACCTTGCTTTAATGGTCTGTTCTTAGTTCCCAGCCGATAGTGCACAATATTGCAAAAAACCTCTCTGCACATTTGTGTATATTCAGTGATGTAGTGTTGGTGTAAGGAGCCTTACGTGATATTAAGCCGAATTCAGTGTAGCCTATGAAACATTTAGCTGTGCAGACCTCCTTGTCTGGATCACTGCCACAGACTCAAGGCTGAATGCTCACGTGTGCCCTCTAGAGGTAGATGAAGGTAACTTATACGAGGATCATAAATATTTAATATTTAAAGTCCTTTTCCATTATGAAGGCATCCTTAATGAAACACGCATTAACGACTGAGACATAAAAACAAGCTACGATTTCAAAGGACACGTTTTGTCATTATGCCCTGATTAACGGCTGTAATAACAGAACACACCAAGATCACATGCGGCTCATGTTCAGAGGTGGTTTGCTCAGATGCAGATTAAGGTTGTTTCTGGTTTAAAGTGATTCCAAGGATCACCATTAACGCTGCAGTTAACCATAAGACTAGATGCCTGATCTGTATCAGAGCACTAGTCTCATTGTTCTTGAATTGAGTCAGCTATTCTAGTTGGCATTCCTAAGCGGTTGCCACCTCCTACTCAATATTATGTTGCGGAGATCTTTGTGTTGTTGTGAATGGACGTGCGCCTAACAGATCCTTTCTAGGAGACATTTAGAACCCTCTTAATGCTGTACAGGAAGCTGTTGCCTCACAGCCTCTCTTGTTTCTCTCTTCTCCAGGGCTCTCTGTCTGATTATCTGAAGGCCAACGTGGTAACGTGGAACGAGCTGTGCCACATTGCCCAGACCATGGCGCGAGGTCTGGCGTACCTCCATGCTGACATCCCAGGCCTCAGAGATGGACACAAGCCTGCCATCGCCCACAGGTTAGAACCCCTTGACCCTACCACCCGTATCAGCCCACATTAAGCCACTGAGGCTGGAGCTGGATGGCTGTGTATAGCTGCTGACTACACTTAGTTATAGTTTCAAGGTTTTATCCATTATTCATTCATTCACTTCCAAAACAATTTAAATTAGGCAGAAACTATCATTTTCATTTTCAGATGTTTTATTGAATATTACCTCAAGTGTTTTAATATTCTGTGAAAGGGGTTTTTAACTCTGGTTTTGGAGACCCGGTGTTCAGCACAGTTTTATAACTAGCCTACTCAAAAAAACACCTACTAAATCTGGTAATTAACAGAGGAGTTGAATTAGGTGTGTTTGAGCAAGAAAATCACAATCTGTGCTGGACACTGGTCCTCTAGGACTGTAGCTGAACTCTGTTCTATAAGAATAAGAAAATTCAAGACGTGTTTCATCTTAATAAGTAGATGGAAAAAATGTGGTACTTTGATTATTATTATTATTAGTGGTAGTAGTAGTAGTATTAAGTATTGTATTTTCATAGAGAGTTGCATAAAAATGTGAAACTGGTGAATCCTGCCCAAGCCGGCAACCTGCAGCAGGTTGCTGGCTACTGAACAGAACTCTTTTTAACCATTGTCTTAAAAATGAAAACAGTTTTTTGGTCAACTCGTCAGTAAACGCAGGAGTGATCAAGGCTTTTAAGCCAGTCACAACTGTTTTATACCAGAGTACTCACTAAACTCAGCCATGCTGGCCTTAACACCAGATTCAGTTTAAAGAATTTTCCTACAGCTTGCAGCTAGTTAGTCAGCACACTGTCATTTGTTCTCATCGTTTATGTTGCATTGTTCTCTTTTATCCAGTTAAACTGCAGCATTACTATTAACATAATTAACCAAATTAAGGCCTGATATCCTATACAGTTAATTACTTTTTAACTACTGTGAAACTAGTGTGTAAGTTATGTAGTTGTAAGAGTGAGGAAAAGAAGTCTGGATGGATCCCTAGAGTTTATAGGGTTATATGTAATTTGCGCCATAGGAAAACAGACACAGATTGTGTGATTAGAAAACTATTTTAATTAGAATGTAGTTAAAAATATGAACAAAATGAGACTCATTGTGTTTATGAATTTTCCTTGACTGGACACTACATGTTGTTTTCTACACATCTGATTTAAGAGTGTTTTATGCTATGCAAGTCAGATTACATATTGTCGCTGTCCCAAAAAACCCAAAACAAGCATCTCCATTTTATTCCATTTGAGCAGAGCAGCTGTCCTTCACATTGTGTGAAGATTTTATGATGAATGGATCAATAGACATGGTCCAAAATTACTAGGGAAAAAAAATCTCAGTACATTGACATTCACTGAAAGTAAAGAATGTTTCTTCTGCTTCTCTGGCAGTTATGATTTTGGGGATACTTTTTTGGAAATATTTTTTTATTTATATTTATTTTTTTGGAAAGCAATATCGTCACTGTTGAACAAAATGTCATATTTCTGAAATGGTTACTTGATAGGTTGGAGGAAAAATATCCTTTTAATGTTTGCTGATGTCTTATTTCAAGTAATTTTAGACCTTTTCTATTGGTCCATTCATTATGAATAAAAAGTCACAAGGTTTTGATGCAACAGCAATAAAATGTTCATTTACATATGTTTTATTGTAAAACGCAGCAAGATATTTCTGCTGGTTGCTGGTTTAACGTGGCCATTCTACAGTATTTACTGTGTGTTTATGTCTGTGTGTGCACGTGCAGGGACGTTAAGAGTAAGAACGTGCTGCTGAAGGCTAACCTGACGGCCTGCGTTGCTGACTTTGGCCTGGCCCTGAGGTTCGAGGCCGGAAAGTCTGCCGGGGACACACACGGACAAGTGAGTTCTGACAGTAGGGGAGGGAACCGCAGCTGTTTGGCTGGCAGTAGTTCTGCAGCTCAGCTCAGAGAAAGCGCTACAGATGGTTGCTAGATTACACCACTGTGCTATGTGTGTAGGCGTTCTGTGTGAGGAATGTCAGTATGAGGAGCTTGGCTGTTTGCAGGTACACTAGGGAGAACAGCCTCGCTCAGGCTGAAACTGCAGAAACTCACCTCCTCAGGCCTCGCCACACAACTTTGTTTGTTACTTGGGAAGCAAGTTCCTGCTTTTTCATGCTTTCTTATTAGCATCTGCATGAGTGTGAGTCAGCTCTCATAGGAAAATAGTGACAAAAGATCAAATATACACAGTTTTCACCCTCACGTCAAGTGTATTAGATCAGCCAAGACGTGTTTGATGTTGGAAGTGTGCTTTCTCAGTTTTGCACTGCAGTTGTGAGGCTGGTTTAGATAACAAGTAATGGGAGCTTATACCCCACGAGACTAACATTGCACAAACTGCATGCCTAGATTATCACACATCTCTTTCTCGAGTGGTGATCCTGATAATACTTACTAGAATAGTTATAGAGATCGTTCCTTTTCTCCACTTTGTAGATGAGTTTCTTCTAATCCATTTTGCTGTGGAATGGCAGAGCAATGTTGCGCCACAAATAGAAACGGGACACTGAACTGCATCATGCTCTGCGGCTGGTGCAGATTTTTACGTTTTATTTGTATATGTATTTAACCTTTATTTAACCAGGAAGTCCCCTGAGATTAAAATGTCTTTTTCAAGGGAGACCTGGCCAAGATAGCACACGGTTTCCAGTTACAGGAATTATAAAATCAAGCATAACAAAACAGACGTGAGGCAGTTTAAATAGAACATTAAATAGAAAACGAATGAAGAATAACAGAAACATAATACAAAACACAAAATCCAGCTTATGAATAGCAACTGCTCTCTTACCATAGACAGCTTCATTATTCAAAGTCAATAGTCAAATTCATCCCATACTCGATTGAGCATGTCGGGTGTCACTGTACTCACGGCTCTTTCAGTGCAATTTCGGAGATTGTCCAATGTTGTGGAACCAACGACGAACACTCTGAGCTGTTGGAGGTTTACTGCCGATGAAAATCACGTTGCACTGTTATGACCGATTCACTCTTATTAAAGTGGAGAACGCAGAACGCTTTCTGCTCAGGTGTCTCATCTCCCTGCAGACTGATGGAAGCCATGTTCCGGTGACAGTCAGAAACTCTATGACCTCCTTTTTCAGTTGGATTGTGATTGGTTCCTAGGCGCCTCACGGTTGTAAAAATATGGCACTTTGAAATCAGATTAGTCTTTTTGAATCACCGTGTATTATGCTGTCATTTGTGTCCCCTGACCACGTCCAAGGTGGTTTGAGTGATCGGATCATCTGACCGCATTAAAACACATACTTGTCGCTGTCCACTTAAGATCAGATTCCCAAAGCTCCTGTTGCGAATGGGGCCAAATAGTCTTATTTATGTGGACAAATGTATGTTAGTTAAAAACGGTAGTAGCAATTAACATGACGCCTGAATTTTGTCTGTACTTTTGCTTATTTGTATAAATAAAATTATACAAATGTCTGTAAAACTGTCAGAAACCAGTCACTGTCACTTTAAATGAGCGACTGTACAGTTGTTTTTGTTTTTCTTGCTCTAATACCCCTGACCCTGCTCAGAGAGAGTTTGATAATTACCTGTTAAGTTGAATCAGGTGTGGTGAAGCAGGGGAAATGCAAAAAGAAAAAAGAAAAAACGTACAGTATATTGAGCCTGAGAACCATTACAGTATAGACCATTTAATTTCTACATGTACTTATGCTTTGTTTGTTCACTGCTCCATGTCTGCAGGTGGGAACCAGGCGCTACATGGCTCCGGAGGTGTTGGAAGGGGCAATCAATTTCCAGCGAGATGCGTTCCTCAGGATAGACATGTATGCCGTGGGCCTCGTGCTGTGGGAACTGGCCTCCCGCTGCACAGCTGCCGACGGTAAGAACAGTGAATAACTGCTTATGGGGACCAGTTAGCGCAGTTCCTTCGCACAGTGCTAACTGGCCCCTGTCAGCTTTTGTTCATAATTTCTGTTCCCTTTAACTCTGTCATACCTTTTAGCTTGTGTTCTATAGAGAAATAGAGGAAAGTGGATTAAAAGGCAGAAATAGACACATTTTGCTTCCATATTAAAGGGGTGAATCATTACAGGGAGAAATTGCATTTAGGACTAACAAGGTGTAGAGCAACATGATTGAAACCAGACTGCTTCTCTTTGGTTGACAAGGTTTGGATGAGGAAGGCATTGTTAACACATTGTTACAGGATTTTCTGTCACCTTATGCTTCAGTAGAGGTTAAGGTCCTGCCTTGTGCATTACACTGATTTGCTTTACCTTTTCTGAGCTGCTATAATAACCAAACTCTAATGAACTCTGCCAGTTTAAATCTTTTACTTGACTTGAAATTTGACCTAGACTCAGCTATTTTCTGCAAATACACTGAAACGTGTTCATTTAGAAATTTTGGACATTTATGCTGCCATTTTGTTTTGATCGAACTGTTCAACTGACTTTTTCCATTGGTTTTCTTTAAAATTATACCAAAGAGAACCTTACACAGTACTGTGAATGTTAACCAGACAGGAGGCCCTTTTTTAAAAAACGTACTGTTTATTAGTTTGGTTTTTTGTTTTATTTTAAACTTGTTTTTCTTAGATAGATAGACAGGACAGTAATAAGGGTGATACAATAGAAGAATATAAAAGTATACGAAAAACAGGCACATATACAACTAGAAATATATATATATATATATATATATATATGCGATAAGATCTATCCTGACAGAAAAAAGACAGTAATAATCAATAAATGTAATAATCAGTGTACAAGGAGATGGCGTTAACAGCATGTAATGACAATACCAAATAAATATGTGCATATATTGGTACTGAAATCTGATCCTATATCATGGATTATCTTGTCAAATATTTATTATAGTATCACTAAAACTGAAAAATCACTGTCAATATCACAATTTACTGCTTTAGCCAATATATCACTACACCAGTATGTGACTCTCCTGGACTGTAAATCTCCTCGCTTAACTCTTAACTCTTCTCTGTAAAGACCCTCAAGAATCTCACAAATCAACGTCACACTTCACTTCCATGTAAAATACCTGCCGCTATCGAAACTAATAACAGCCCAAACTAAAAGCTGGCTGTATGAAACCTCTGGACTGTGTGGGATGTGGAGGAATAACCTCCTGCTCGTTGTCCTGGCAGGCCCAGTGGACGAGTACATGCTGCCGTTTGAGGAGGAGGTGGGCCAGCACCCCACCCTGGAGGACATGCAGGAGGTGGTGGTCCATAAAAAGCTGCGTCCCACTCTACGGGAGTGCTGGCAGAAACATCCCGTAAGTTCTCAACCACAGAGCAGTGGTTACTATTAATCACTCTGTGGCTGATTTTATTGTGTATTGTATATTCGTTTTATTCCCTGTCTCACTTGCTTTCTTTTCTTTCTTTCTCTGTTTGTTTGTTACTGCCCTTCTCATGGCTACACTTTCTGTCTTTCTTTCTTTCTTTCTTTTTTTCTTTCTTTCTGTCCCTATGACTGTTGTTTTGTTGCATTTTCTTTCACTATCACTTTGTACTTTCTTTGTTTCTTTCTTCCCTGACTGATGCGCGTTTATTGTCTTTCTCTCCTTGGTTCTCTTTTTGTTTCTTACTATCATTCATTCTTTTTTTTTTCCTTTTTCTCTTTCTTCTCTTCCTGTTGTTGTTCTATTTTTTCACTCTCTCACTTTTATTTTTGTTACTTCTTTCTGTCCTTCTTTCTCATTTTGTTTCTTTGTGCCATTTTTATGGGTATAATTCAATTTTGTTTATTTATTTATTTTTGTCTGTTCTTCTGTTCTTTTTCTTCCATTCTTTTCTCTTTCTGTTATGGCTGTTCTTCTTTTGCCTTTTTTTGTTTCTTTCTTCCTTATTCTTTCTTTCTGTCTTTTATCCGTGGTGCAACCATTTTCTTTGTTTCTTTGCTTCTCTTTCTCTCTCTTATGTCATTCATTTCTTCTTTCTTTTTTTTATCTCTATCTATTGTTCTTTCTTCCCTATTCCTTCTTTCTTTTCCTTTCTCATCATTTTATTCTTTCTTTTTTTCCCTCTGTCAGGGTCTCACCATGCTGTGTGAGACGATAGAGGAGTGTTGGGACCACGAGGCTGAGGCGCGTCTCTCCGCGGGCTGCGTGGAGGAGCGCGTGGTTCAGATGCATCGACAGACCAGCGTCTCCGGGCCAGAAGAGATCGTCACCGTCGTCACCATGGTGACCAACGTGGACTTCCCGCCCAAAGAGTCCAGCCTATGACTAGCGGGGAACACCATGTGAATCACGTGGGCGGAAACAAAAACCCTTCAGAGACGGGCCTGGGACCGGAGAACTAAAGTTCTGGACAGCTAAAAGCTCGAGTCATCCTGGTGATTGTACTGTACATACGGTTGGTCGAGTTTACCAGCGGTGGATTTTCCTGCAGATTTCGGGCCGATACCGGTTTGCAGCTACACTACATGTTTGCGTGCGTTTGTGCGTATGTGTGTGTTTGAGTGAGTGAAGATGTCTCGAGGCCTTCTGGAAAGGACAGATGGATTTTAATCCAGCACGAGGACCTCATGCAGGACACACCTTTTAGCAAACGGACTACATCAAAAAATGAAGCTGGTGTTTCTCTTTTTTCTTTTTCAGCTGGACAAGAGAAAAAGAGAGAGAGAGATCACTTTTTCTCTGAGAAAACAGGGAGAAAAAGAACCAGACTCCTTGTATCATTTCAGTGTAGAAAGAAAAAAAGAAAAAAGGGCAACATTGCTTTCTAAAAAAACGCATTTAATGTGTTTGAATGAATGACTTTTGCAATGCCAATACGAAACAGCTTCTGAATGTCTAGTGTGTCGCTGCTGTAAATATATCAACCGAGAGGGTGAAAACACGAATCGTCGGCGGCGGTTTTTGTATCTCTGGATTTTCCTCCCAGCGTTTCTGTCAAAATAACCACCAACCTCTCTCGACAAGGTATACCTCAGTTTCTCATCCTAATAACAAGTTTGTTTTGTAACACTATATAAAGAAAAAATATGAAGCTTTCCGTCGACCTACACTGGGCACAGAAGCTTTTTAAATACGGGGGAAAAAAAAATACTTTTTTTTTTATACAACAGATTATGCCAAGAAAATATGGCCATTCATAAACCAGTGTTTTCTTCTGCCTTCTTTCTATTACTTTATGTCTTTTCTGTGTTGCCCTGGTGTTTAGAATGTGATGTTTTTTTTAAGCATTGTGACAAATGGTTTGTTGAATCAGTTTTAGACTTCTATCAGCACCCTTTGAGAAGAAAATCCCTGAAAAATATGAATTCTGTGAAAATATGAAAGCACTTACCAGTATAGGTTTGCAGTGTCCTCACAGCAATCGACATGTGTGCATGCCTTGTATTTTTTTTTCTTTCTCTTGTGCGTGAAATCTCGTGAGCAGTCGTCAACCCCACCCCATCCCACCACCACTTTTTTCTATTTTTTTTTTCTTTTAATCATTTCGTTCGCTGTATTCAATCAGGGTATCGCTCTTTTTGTATTTTCATTTAGTGGAATTTGATCTCGGTCTTCTGTGATCAGTGTCTGCTGTACACATCCTCCCAAGCAGAGGTTCTCCTCAACAATCCTGGACCAGCTTCCTTTACTGGAACCCTGACCCTGACCACAATATGTGAAAAAACTCAAAAAACTAGCCTTAGACAAGCGGCTAGCGCTAACTTTCACGACAACTACAGTTAACTGTCTCTTAAGTATGTCTCAGGAAGCCCGCTGCCACCTTCCCCTTTTTGAGCTTTTCTCCTCTGGTGCCATTCTGGTGGTCCGTGTTGTATCGTGTATGCAAGAGGCCTTCATAACACCTTACTCATTCTGTTCTACTACGGTGATATCATAAGCTGGACTTAACCTTTTCGAGTACCACGACCTTGAAGCCTGATATGTCGCTAGCTCCAGGGCTAGTCTTGTGAATTTGCTTCAAGAAAGGGTTTATATGTTGAATATATGACTCCTAGATGAAGATCAGTGAGTCATGCTGATCTTATTATGCTGTTATGTATTTTTTTTTTTTATTACACAAAAAGTGCACAGAAGTATTATCCTGATAATATGCTGGTGTTATGAGGACCTGACAAATACCGTCTTCATCAATTCAGTACTTTTCATTAACAGTGAGTCCTCTAGTTTAACAGTGGTCCTACTGCTACTCTTAAGCTGCTAATAGGATTCAGGCTTTTTGTCGTTTCTTAAGCTACGCGTCATAGCCCATCTCGAAGCATCGAGGTCCGTATGACTGTATGCAATCAACCTCTTTCAACCGAAGTGTGCTCTCGACTGTAGCATTTTCAATCCGCTGACGTTTGCACATGTCGTTTCTCATCGCCGACCTTCTCAGCTCCGGCTGGTATGGATGTGGTCCGTAAGGACAGGTGCCAACTCATGCCGTCCTATATAGGAGCGCTCGGGAAGAATGTAGAGGCTTCTTCACGTTGTTATCGTTGGCAAACCCGAGATAAACGGTCGTTAGCGCCATTATTGCTCTTTTTTTCATTATTAGCTACGGAACAATCCAGCAATATTTTTTCCTGCTTCTGTTCAAATGGTAATGCAAGGGGGACGGCAATAGTTATCTAAAACTTAATATGATTGTAATTTGTTTTGTGACACGTAGGAACAAAACAGCTTGCTTTTATTATGATCTCAGCTGGGACGGACATCTTTTTCGCAATCACTAGAAGCCGTGATGCGTTTTTCAAGCTTTTTCTCACTTTGTCAGAGATAATCGAGGCGATCTGAAAGTTCCCACTTAATGAAATCTCGTAACTATGGTAATTACATACTGCGCAATGTAATTATACATGATGTGAGTGCAGCGTTAGCGGTGCTTGATTGCATGAGTTCCATTAGCAATTGCGCGTTTCACAGTTACTGGCACAGAGGTGTGTTGAGCTAGCACTTACTCTTACCATGTTGGTATTTTCTATAGAGATTCTAGTGCCGAATGGAATAAGCAGGGCCAGCTAGCATGACCCTTATTTGCACAGTGCTAACTGGCTATTAGCTTTTAGCTAGCCATGTTAACGTTAGCACTTACAGGCTGAAGTGTTCATTCAGATCCTTCATGTGAGCGAGCTCCATGTCTCCGCTCAGTTTGGCTGTGTTCACACCAGATAATTCAGATTATTTTCAGTTTTTTAAATTGGTTTTTAGATCAGATCTTTAGGGCTAACTCCCCACACTGTTATTTTATAGAATGATCAGCTTGGACAGCTATCGTCACTGTCCAAAGAAAAACAAGTATCTCCAAAATAGTAACTTTACAGGAGAAGGCAAAAACACTCCTACATTTCAATGCAGGTTAATACAAAAAAAGGTTTAATTACAAGTGATTTTAGAGCATTTCTATTGGTCCATTCATCGTGAAATCTTCACACAACGTAAAGGGCAGCTGGTGTGTTGAAATTATGTAGAAAAAAAAAATTGACAAAAATGGAGATACATGGTTTCTTTGGACAGCAACGATATATAAAGTCAGGTACGAGTTGCCTCGTGGCAAATCATCTGAGCGTTTACACTAAAACTTGTCTGTAGTAGGATTTGGACACACTTATGTGTTCAGACAGTGACACCATTTTCTGGAATAGGTGCACTGGTTGCTGTATTAATGTAGGCATGACGTTGTCGTGGTCAGTGCTGCCTAGAAACACGTTTACCACAATGAATGAGATGTGATGTCAAATACAAGATGCACCACAAAAAATCTGAGCGTTCATATAAAGCTAGACTTCAGACTCAGATATGCAAATAAATCGGTTTTGTTTTATCTGTGTGAACACAGCCTTTGCATTCACTCTCAGCCAGGATACAAGCCTTCAGCCCACATGCAAATGTGGGAAAGATACATAAGAGTAGCCGTCATTCGCTGTAGCTTCCATTCATGTCCGTCCCACACAGCTGTCTTTCTACGTCTCGCTCAAGAGAGGGTCTTCAGTGTTATTGTGGTTAAGTGGGCCTGGTATTCAGAATGTATCAACAGTATGAGTGGAGTTTTCACAACTAACGTAACCATATCCGGTCCTAGATCTGATCCTGTTGACAGGTAGGTTGTGAGTGCTGGCCCTGGATTCTCCGCTAGCTTTAAACTCTAAAGTCAGTATGAGTGGTTGTTAGTGGCTCTTCTGGCCGCTCAGTTTGGTCAACAGGCACCGCAAGCCCTGTTGACCTCTTTGCTTCTGATTCAAAGAAAGTCTGGGGTTTTTCTCATAAATCATGTGTCAGGTCATGTGAAAGCATGAAAAAAAAACCCTTTAACATACTCTCTGCCCTTAAAACACAAGCCAAACCACCACCACCACCTCCACCTCCACCTCCTCCTCCACCTTCCCGAACACCCTCTCCATACATTGGCAGAAGACTGGATTGAAAGTGCACCGTATGTATATATGAATAATGTTTTAGATTGTGGAAAAATAGCATGAGGTTGTTTTTTTATGGTCTCAAAAGCAAAAAAAAATGGTTTAAAAAACAGAAAAAAAAAACCTTTATTAATATTATTATGGAAAAAATATTTTACCGTTGTTTATTTTGTATATCTGTATTTTAGGTTGTTTTATTAATTTATGTCACGGCCCAAACGAGTTATTTTTATTCTCGATTCAATTTTCTTCGAAATTTTGCTCTATTTATAAAACTGGTCAGATGAAACACTAAAAAATAAAAAGTAGAAAGAAAGAAATTAGCAGATCGATCTATCCTTTACCTCAGACTTCCCGGTTCACTCTCAACGTTAAAAGAACAAGCGGTGTAGCACGACAGATAACATGGTGCAAACGTTGTGAAAACTTTTACTGGGAATTGACCAGCAGGTTCTCTCTCTCTCTCTACTTCTTCTTCTTTTTCTGCTTTTTTTTCTGGCGAACAAGACGCTCTTTGTGGTTTTTAGTGACAGTATTTGCTCACCACGATGCCGTCGAGTGAATGTCACCATTGTACCAAAACTGGCCGTCTTGGGTGCGGGCGACTGTATTATGACCTTAATGCCGGACATGCCATTTGAGTTTCTCCTCTAAAGTATTTAATGAAACATATTCAGGGCCTGGTTGGAAGTAATTGTTACATATTGTACAGATGAAAATTTTATGCTACTACTCCCTTCAAATAAAGTATAGTGACTGCTCTTGACTCCGTGTTGTCCATGTAAGTGTTGGTGCTGTTGTCGGTCAGTTCCTTATATACACTGACCGTCCACTTTATTATTAACACCACCTCCTACTCCCACTGGTCGGCCACTTGCCTTATAGCTTTGCTGTACACTCTTAAAATGAAGGCAGTGGTTCATATAGAACCATGAGTTCTATATAGATTTCATGCTTGAATGGTCCTTTGCATGGTGGAGTTGTTCTTCAGATTGATGGAGATTTGTGTTCTGTACGGTTCTATATAGAACCTATTTGAAAGTGGTTCTATATGGCACCAACAAGGGTTCTTCTATTTATTACAAGCTTGGCATCGTAACAATAGAACCCTCTTTGGTTCTATACAGAACCATACACAACACAGTCTCCATCAATCTGAGGAACCATTTCACCATGCACAAAACATTTAAGCATGAAATGGTTCTATATAGGACTCATGGTTCTAAATCATTCCTAAGATTGATGGAGATTGTGTTCTATATGGTTGTATATAGAATCTGTTTGAAAGCGGTTCTATATAGCGCCAAAAAGGACTCTTTTATTATTACGAGCTTGACATCATAACAATAGAACCCTTTTTGGTTCTATACAGAACCATATGTTGTCAATCTGAAGAACCATTTCACCATGCAAATAACCATTTACGCACGAAACAATTGTACATAGAACTCATGGTTCTAAATAGAACCATTGACATGAAATTGTTCTTCAGATTGATGGAAAATGTGCATGCATGTGCTGTAGACGGTTCTATATATCCTTTTCAGAAAGGGTTCTATATATCACATTCTCCATCAGTCTGAAGAACCGTTTCATGATGCAAAGAACCATGAACTCTATATAGAACTATTTCATGCTTAAATGGTTCTTTGCATGGTGGAGTTGCTTGATGGAGATTGTGTTTTATATGGTTCTATAGAGAACCTGTTTGAAAGTGGTCCTACATAGTGCCAAAAAGGGTTGTTCTATTATTACAAGCTTGCCATCGTAACAATAGAACTTTTTTTGGTTCTATACAGAACCATACACAACAGATTCTCCACCAATCTGAAAAACCATTTCACCATGCAAATAACCATTTAACCATGAAACAGGTCTATATAGAACCTATGGTTCTAAATAGAACTATTGCTGTGAAAGCGTTCATCATGCTGATGGACAGTGTGCATGAATGAGCTACAGCACATCCTCCATCAGTCTGAAGAAGCCTTCAGTCTGCATGCAAGGAACCATGAAGGCAGTGGTTCAATTTAGAGCCAAGAGTTCTATATAGAACCATTTCATGCTTAAATTGTTCTTTGCATGGTGAGGTGGTTCCTCAGATTGAGGGAGATTGTGTTCTATATGGGTCTATATAGAACCTGTTTAAAGCAGTTATGTATAGCGCCAAAAGCTTGACATTGTAACTATAGAACCATTTTTGGTTCTATACAGAATCATATATCAAGAATCTAAAGAACAATTTCACCATGCAATTAACCATTTAAGCACGAAACAGTTCTATACAGAACTCATGGTTCTAAATAGAACCATATCTGTGAAAGCGTTCTTCAGATTGATGGAAAATGTGCATGAATGTGCTATAGACGGTTCTATATAGAATGTTTTTGAAAAGGGTTCTATATAGCACCCAAAAGGGTTGTTCTATTGTTACAAGCTTGGCAGCGTAACAATGGGTGCTTTATAGACCCTTTTCAAAAAGGTTCTATATAGAACCATCGACAGCACATTCTCCATCAGGCTGAAGAACCCTTTCATGATGCAAAGAACCATGAAGGTTCAGTTTAGAACCATGAGTTCATATAGAACCATTTCATCCTTAAATGGTTCTTTGCATGTGAAAATGGTTCCTCAGGTTGATGGAGAATGTGTTCTATATGGTTGTATATAGAATCTGTTTGAAAGCAGTTTAATATAGCGCCACAAAGGGTTCTTTTATTATTACAAGCTTGACATCATAACAATAGAACACTTTTAGGTTCTTTACAGAACCATATATCATCAATCTGAAGAACCATTTCACCATGCAAATAACCATTTAACCATGAAACAGTTCTATACAAAACCTATGGTTCTAAATAGAACCATATCTGTGAAAGCGTTCTTCATATTGATGGAAAATGTGCATGAATGTGCTATAGACGGTTCTATATGGAATGCTTTAGAAAAGGGCTCTATATAGCACCAAAAGGGTTCTTGTATTGTTACAAGCCTGACACCATAACAATAGAAGAACGCTTTTGGGTGCTATATTGACCCTTTTCAATAAGGTTCTATACAGAACCATCTACAGCACATTCTCCATCAGTCTGAAGAACCCTTTCATGGTGCAAAGAACCCTTTAATCATGGAAAGGGTTCTATGAATGTTCATGGTTCTATATAGATCCGTTTTCTTTACTAAAGAAGTACCTTGAAACGCCATCTTTGACAAGTGTGTACGCTTACTGACCACTAATCAACACATCAGGGTTTTTCCAGCGGGCAGTGTGGTACGGTATGGTTGCTAACCCTAACCCAAAACTATCTGTACCCTTGTCGAGTACCTGTGTCCATTTCCCACTGTACAACGGAACCGTGGAAGTAGGCGGAGATCTCTAGAGGTGCCAACTGTTGATCCGTCTTGTGAACGGAGAGAGACTGTAGCTGTGTCTGTTGATGCACAAATTTGTGTTAGCCATCGTCTATCCCTTCATTAGTGGTCAGTTTCTGCGTGGTCAGTCAGTGGTCACCTAGACTACCACGCCATTACCATGTCAGTATCTCATTGCTGTGCTCTAAATAGTCCACCAGGCAAATGTGGTCTCATGGTGGTCCCGTTTCATTGATGGTCGAGGCTGCAAGCCTACAAAGTGGGCCCAAATGGTAGATGTACCTGATAAAATGGCCAATCAGTGTAGACGCAAAGCCGGTGTACCTAATAAAATAGCCACTCGACACCGATCAGGCGTAACATTATGACCACCTCCTTGTTTCTACACTCATTGTCCATTTTATCAGCTCCACTTACTATATAGGTGCACTTTGTAGTTCTACAATTACAGACTGTGGTCCATCTGTTTCTCTGCATACTTTGTTAGCCCCCTTTTACCTTGTCCTTCAGTGGTCAGGACCCCCATGGACCCTCACAGAGTAGGTACTATTTGGGTGGATCATTCTCAGTGTTAGTGTGTGTTGCGCTGGTCTGAGTGGATCAGACACAGCAGTGCTGCTGGAGTTTTTTAACACCTCAGGGTCACTGCTGGACTGAGAATAGCCCACCAACCAAAAATATCCAGCCAACAGCGTCCTGTGGGCAGCATCCTATGACCACTGATGAAGGACCAGAGGACGACCAACACAAACTGTGCAGCAGCAGATGAGCTATCGTCTCTGACTTTACATCTACAAGCTGGACTGACAAGGTAGGAGTGTCTAATAGAGTGGACAGTGAGTGGACACAGTGTTTAAAAACTCCAGCAGCACTGCTGTGTCTGATCCACTCAGACCAGCACAACACACACTAACACACCACCACCACGTCAGTGTTACTGCAGTGCTGAGAATGATCCACCACCCAAATAGTACCTGCTCTGTGAGGGTCCATGGGGGTCCTGACCACTGAAGAACAGGGTAAAAGGGGGCTAACAAAGTATCAGAGAAACAGATGGACTACAGTCTGTAACTGTAGAACTACAAAGTGCACCTATACAGTAAGTGGAGCTGATAAAATGGACAATGAGCGTAGAAACAAGGAGGTGGTCATAATGTTATGCCTGATCGATGTATATAAGGTTGAATCTCACACATGCAGTGCCTAAACACACCACCAGGTGTCAGCATTTCTATCACACTTAATTAGATCACACTTTACCATTCAGCTGTTTTGAATATCAGGCTGAGCTGATGAAGTCCCCAGCAGAGCCACCACTGCTATACAACCACACACACAAGGCCCAATAAGCCTGTGCATCTGTATTCATTACTGCAGCTGATGCAATTGCTCAGCTTCCCGGCCTTGGCAGCGCTTCAGATGTAGACGTGTGTGACGCGCAGCACCACAAATCCATCATGAAGTGCACACTGCTTTGTATGCATGATTACTGTGCAGTGCTTTCTCTACATTTCCCTCAACGTGCTACTGATGGGTCCCTGTAGTCGTCAGAGATGCCTTGAAAACACTACAACTCAATGAGCAGAATGTGGATTAGACAGTGACATTCAAGGGGGTCGGATTTATTTCCCCACAGCAAATGTACAGAGAGGCGGGGGGGGGGTGTACGACACCCAAAAACAGTGAACCACAAACAGCTCCAACATGACAAACTGAACTTGCTCTCAAACAGCTTTTAGTTGTATTTTTGTAATTATATCAGTCATTTTTTAATATTGTTCAAAGTAATGTTTATTACTACTACTATTATTATTATTATTATAGTATTGTATTCATTTTTTATTTTATTATTATTTTATTGCAATATTTGTATTATTGTTGTTGTTTAAATTATATAAATGATAACAATTATTATATGGTTTTACTGTAGTTATATTAGTTATTTATTATTGTTGTTGTATTATAGTCCTTGATTTATTTTTTCGGACCTGATTATTAAATTCAAAAACATTTTTTAAAAAAAATGTGTGCAGGGGTCCTTTTGGTATATGTTGCCTTGAGGCAACATTGTGTGACAATGGGAAGAAATGATATAGACCCGTGTTCCCTGAAGTGGTGAGTCCTGGCTTGTGACTGGCTGAATCCATTCCTCTGTCTCACAATGTTGCTTCTAGGCAACAAACATATTTCTGCAAATTCTCATAACAAAAAAAAAAAATGCTGAATTAAACAAAGAGGTTTAAATGTGCCCACTAAGAGACAGTATGACCATAAAAGTACATGCTTTTTATTCACTTACTCAAACTCTTCCCTTTATTGTTAGTCCTATAGTTGTCTTTAAATGAGTGTAATGTTATTGTAAAGTGAGGAAAATGAGTTTGTTGCCCTGAGGCA